AACTCAAAATTTTCTTTAAGCCCCGAGTTTCCGAGTTGGGGGCGTATCAATGAGAAACATGGCAGAATCGATGGATGCAATACGTGTGTAGTTGACGGTAAATTTTTTGTTTAAATTGATAGTTTAGTTGTCCTATAAACTTAAATTCGTCATGTTCTTGTTACGCAGCTGAAATCCAAGTAAAAAAATGCAGACCCTGTTTGTATTTTCTTGTAATTTATTAAAAGAAGGTACACCACCATCTTGTGCCGACTAAACTGACTTGAACGCACCTGATGTCGTAATTACGACTTGTCAACTCGTAAGTACGAACGTCCCAGGAGGACTTGAACGCAGCAGTAGATAAACGGATTTGAGTGATAAATAATCAATGTCTAACCTGATGAAAAAATATAAATGTAATGTGCATTTGTTGTTGCCGTAAAGCAATCCGCACTTTTCACGGAATTTCGTACCCGCTTACTAAATTTACTCATAGAACAGACGTTTGAAGGAGAGTGGGAACGATTTTGATATTTCAGGTAAAAAAAATAAATAAATACATACAGTTGCTTTAACATTTGATTTAGTTGTGTCTGATGTTTTTTGAATCCGTTTTAATTAGATCCTGTGAAAGGAGCTCTAGAAGCAGAGCAGTGTTTGGACAAGTGCGATGCGAGTGCTGTTGTTTACCAGTTAAATCGTGTCTTTGTAGTGTCACTCGTGAATCTGGGTCGAACAACTTCTGACTGCATTGTTTTTCTTCTTTTTTAGACCCAGACAATTCAGCTGGCCCTGCAGAGAACGGTGGAGTTTTACAGACAGAGGGAAATCAGGTACATCACGACATGTCAGCTGTTTCTCTTAGACAGTAATGAGAAAATAGAGTTTCAGAAGAGATCTCAACCATGTCTCAAAATATGCTAACACACCAAAGTCTGCAAACAAAAGACAGAAGTCTTAATATGAACTGGCATATTATCTTTCCGCATAATTTTATAGCTCTATCCACCTTAGTTTTATCCTGTTTTTATACAGTCTATGGTTTTAACGTAAGAATGGGCGTGGCTTTTTGTAATTGAATGTGCGAGACATCCGGTGACATATTTACTTGTCCTTCATGCTGCTTGATTTTGCAAACTGGTATTTGTTATCATATAATTTTAATGTATTATCATAATCGTAAACACACTGGTTTGTGGCGCAATTAGTTTTACTCTTTATTGCGTTTTGATATTATTTACCTGTAGCGGCTAATGAATCGGAAGTCTCGCACATTCACAGGAAGTAGTTTAACGTTACTTCTGTTTTGCAAAATAAGGTGGATGCTCTTACATACAGTACAGTGCATTTTTGACACCAAATTCACAAAACAAACGAATTTCATGTCATGTGATGCAAAATAACAAAACAAAGTAACCCATTTTGAACACTAGATCTAATGATTAATCGTTTCAAATCTAACAGACGTTTTAGGTTTTTATCAAAATTTGTTGCTTGTAAAATGTGTGCGGTTTTCGTTACAATAAATGACACTTGGTTTGACATTTTGTACAAATGCAATGACACCCATTATATACTATAAAGCAAATCTCAACTGCCTGATTTAAAAATTTTTTTTTATTTATTTCAGCTCATATTGTATCTACAGGTGCATCTCAATAAATTAGAATGTCGTGGAAAAGTTCATTTATTTCAGTAATTCAACTCAAATTGTGAAACTCGTGTATTAAATAAATTCAATGCACACAGACTGAAGTAGTTTAAGTCTTTGGTTCTTTTAATTGTGATGATTTTGGCTCACATTTAACAAAAACCCACCAACTCACTATCTCAACAAATTAGAATACTCCATAAGACCAATAAAAAAAAACATTTTTAATGAATTGTTGGCCTTCTGGAAAGTATGTTAATTTACTGTACATGTACTCAATACTTGGTAGGGGCTCCATTTGCTTTAATTACTGCCTCAATTCAGCGTGGCATGGAGGTGATCAGTTTGTGGCACTACTGAGGTGGTATGGAAGCCCAGGTTTCTTTGACAGTGGCCTTCAGCTCATCTGCATTTTTTGGTCTCTTGTTCCTCATTTTCCTCTTGACAATACCCCATAGATTCTCTACGGGGTTCAGGTCTGGTGAGTTTGCTGGCCAGTCAAGCACACCAACACCATGGTCATTTAACCAACTTTTGGTGCTTTTGGCAGTGTGAGCAGGTGCCAAATCCTGCTGGAAAATGAAATCAGCATCTTCAAAAAGCTGGTCAGCAGAAGGAAGCATGAAGTGCTCCAAAATTTCTTGGTAAACGGGTGCAGTGACGTTGGTTTTCAAAAAACACAATGGACCAACACCAGCAGATGACATTGCACCCCAAATCATCACAGACTGTGGAAACTTAACACTGGACTTCTTCCACGACATTCTAATTTATTGAGATGCACCTGTATATTAATTTCTACTGCTTTATATAAAAATGAATATATAAGTATGTCTAAATTTATCCTCATACAGTGCACTCATGTAAATCAATATATACTAGCCTATATATCGAATTTTTTTTATTTCGTCCAAAATGTAACTATACTATAACCCAGCTCTTTATATAAAGTTAGATATATACGTATGTTCAACAGAATATTCACATAGGGTGATATAAACTATAAAGCAAATCTCATCTGCTAGATTGTTTATATTGTCATAAAATTTAACTATATTATCACCCAGCTCCGATCTGCTAAATGCAACTAAAAGATATTATAATTTAAATATTAACATCATGATTTTCTGTAAAGCTGCTTTGAAACAGTGTGTATCGTGAAAAGTGCTATACAAATACATTTATCTTGACTTGACATGCAAACATTTATAAGTGTCCAAATACTTTTTGGGGTCTCATTTATTTCTATTTTTATTCATCCATAGGAATATCTTAGACAAAGTTGAAATGCAAATGTAAATGGATGAAATCAAGACCTTCAGTTCTCCTGAGATATGAAAGAGAAACCTCTGAGCTATAATATTTTCTTTTGATATTTTGGTTACCCTTTTTCCTAACTCTTACCCTGGTAAATGTTAATCAATCTCTCTTTCTCTTGCAGTGGACAAGAGTTTGTACGAAGTTTGTCAGACGAGCAGAAGTGTTTGTTTGAGAACTCTCGCTGTGACAGCCAGACTGACATCTCAGGAATACTGAAATACACAGCAACTATTTTAGGTAATTACACACTAGGGCTGTGCAATAAATAGAAATCTCAATATGACCATGTGCAATTATTAAACCTTAAAATGCTGCAATTTACTTTAATAAATACAGTATATGTCATGCATACTTCAGAGTATACTATGCATACTCAAGCATGCATGTGACTTTTTTTTGTTGGCTCAATATATATATTTTTTTTGTCTGCAAAGTGGTCACTTTTAGCATGCATTGACAACACAAAGTGCTTTAGCTTTATTTTGCATCATAAACGCAATGTTTCTCATGATTTTTTGACCAAATCATGCCGCTTTAGTGCACACACACAAAACGGCAAAACTTTGACCTCAATACACGCTCACTGACACTTTCCTAAAAACTCCCTCCATTGCTGCAGTCTCCATTCCCGAGCTGTTGCTAAGATACTAACTCTGCCATCCCTAACGAGAACACATTTATAAATAAACCGCAATGAGCCATTTGAACTGAGCCCTGCCCAGCTAAACCTACTGCGCATCTCGCTTTTATGCTGCAGAGCCACAGCGTTTCACGACGCGCTTATACTGCAGCTATTGATTATTTTGGTAATCAATGGTTTCGCTGGGGGCCAGACCTTTAAACTTTCCATCTTTATGTGAAAGCATGTTTATAAAACAGATAGTTCTGCTAAATACAGATTGCATGAGCCGTGTTCATTCCGATGTAAATGTCAGTAATAATCTGTGACTGTACGTTCCATATTATAACGCAATGCTGCTATGTTTATAAAAGCAATAAGCCACTCAACGGCATGCCGTATTACCTCTCAAGTGCTGCATTGCTTTTACTCAGAGGTTACTGCATAATACAAATATGAATTCATTTTAATATACACCACTGTTCAATTGTTTGGGGTTGGTAAGATTTTTTAAATGGTTTCATAAAGAAGTCTCTTTAGTTTGGAAGCTTGTTTCTGCCATGGACTAAAAAAATTATAAAGGTAGTTGTGACTTTTATCTTACACGTCTGCAGTTGTGAGTTTACATCTCGCAGTTCTGATTTTTTCCCCACAGAATTCTAAGGTAACACTTTGCAATTTTTACTTTTTTGGGGGGGAATTCTGAGTTTATATCTCAAAATTCTGACTCTTTTTTTTTTTTTTTTTTTTTTAATCAGAATAGCCTTTGTGCACAGCCAGCCTTGTACTCTTCTAGGTTGTCCATAAAATGCGTTGCACAAATTTTTGCAATTTTTATGTTTTTCCTGCTGAATTCTGATTTTACATCTTTTACATCTTTTTTTTAAACATTTTTTTCCTGCCACAGAAAAAAAAAAAACGGTAATTATGACCTTTTATGTCACTATTCAGATTTTTTTTCTAGCAATTTATATCTCACAGTCGAATTATTATCTCACAATTCTGAGAGGAATGCCAGAATTGTGAGATAAAAAGTTGCATTTACCTTTTTTATTTTTTATCCTATGGTGGAAACAAGCTTCCATACTTATGCTCACCAAGGTTGGATTTATTTTATTAAACACACAGTAAAATCAATAATATTGTGAAATATTGTTACAATTTAAAATAAAATGTTTCTATGTGTATATATATTTTTTAATGTAATTTATTCCTGTAATCGAATCTGAATTTTCAGCATCATTACTCCAGTCTTCAGTGTAACATTATCTTCAGAAATCATTCTAATATGCTGATTTGCTGCTCAAAAAACATTTCTGATTATTATCAATGTTGAAAACCGCTGTGCTGCCGAATATTTTTTTGGAAACTGATACATTTTATTTTTCAGTGTCCACAGAAAGTTCAAAAGAACAGCATTTATTTGAAATTTAAATCTTTTGTAACATTATAAAAGTCTTTACTGTCACTTTTAATCAATGTAATGCATCCTTGTTGAATAAAAGTAATAATTTATTTTAAAAAAAATTATTATTTAACTAAGAATTAAATTAAAATGCATAAAATGTATTATAATTGTTCATTTCTTAAAAAATATATATATATATTAAGAAATTAACACTAATAATAAATTTTATGCATTTTAATTTAATGTATAATTTTATATATATACAGTATCTCACAGAAGTGAGTACACCCCTCACATTTTTGTAAATATCGACTAGTAATGTATTTTTTTTTATTAAAAGATTATTAAGCAAAGTTATCGTTTTTTGCATTATTTTTTTTACAGGCGTGGACTTTGCCGACATACGTGGCCGATTTGGGGAGGAATTCTTTGGCTTGTGTCTGGAGGAGAACGAGAGGGTTCTGCGAGCTCTTGGAGGAAACCTGCAGGACTTTTTCAATGGTTTCGACGCTCTTCTAGAACACATCAGAACGTCCTGCGGTCGCCGAGCGTTGTCCGAGGCTCCTTCTTTCCTATGCAAAGACGCTCCTCAGGAGAGCGAAGAGACGAATGCGGAGAGCGACGTGGGACGGACTCTTCTCCTCCACTGCTTCAACCCCGACACTACTGTGGGCGTGGCCATGCCGGGCTTGATCCGAGCCGCCGCACGACGCATCTACCAATCAGACGTTTCGGTGGAGGAAGCTCCTCCCACGTGGCTGCACACGGCCAATGAAGACAGCGAGCTCTCTGCTGACTCCTCCCCATCTTCATCTCCATCTCCATCTCCGCCGTCATCTTCATCGCCCGCCTGTTTGTCCTTCCTCATTCGAGAGGTTCGGACTCAACCCGCATCCTCGTCGTCGCACACCGCCGCATCTCGCCAGCTGTCGCGCTCGCCGCTGGATTTGCGCATCGGTCTGAGCACGTTTTGCCGGGCCTTTCCCTTTCACCTGGTTCTGGGACCCAACATGGAGGTCCTGCAGGTCGGGGAGGGGCTTCGAAAACAGGCCAAGAGTGACCCGCACCGGACGCTCACCTTCAACAACAGCTTTGAGCTGGTTTCTCCCAGAATCCCCTGTTCCTTCCAGAACATTCTGCTCCGGTTGTCCACGCCGTTCACCATTCGTACGCGACCTGACGGATCGGCACTCGACAGCAGAGATAAGGTAAGAGAATCAGTTGGGTAAAAGATGTGAATTTGTGTTTGTTTAGGTGTGAAACATGCTCTTATTAACTCAACAGCATGTGCCGCCCAATGCTTTCAGTTCAACAACTGTCCAAGTATAATAATTTAATCTATGTCATATTTTAGTCAGCAATAATTTGACAGATTACATTTTTTTTTACACCGATTCAGACTATTTTGCAACCCGTTTGAACGATTCATTGAAAGGAACCAACTCAAAAATTATTCATTCAGAATTTGTGGAAAAAAAAACATTAAAAAAATTGTTAATTGAAATAAAGCTGAAATAAAATAGAAGATGAAAAAAATTAACGTAAATTTTAAAATGTTGCATTGGCAACTAACTAAAATAAGTTTAAGTACTAAAATTACTAGGGATGCACGATAATGGATTTTTGCCGATATCCAATATGCCGATAATTTTCATCTCTTTTTGGCCGATAGCCGATACCGATATATAATTATTTTTAATTTTGGTTAGTTTTTAACAAGAACTTATTTGTTAGAATTAAATAAACAATAATAAAGTTCTTTTATAATGACAGTACATTGAATATTTGAAGATAACTATAAATAAACTATATATTAATCACTGAATTTTTTTTTCAGAAAGATGCAGTGTTAACCTTAACATTTTATTTTATGATTTAACATTTGTAAATGGTCTAAAGCAAAAGAGTTGTAAAAATTCTGAAAATCTTTTAGAGCTCATAATATTATTTGTGTATTTTGCTTTCATTTTATTCGAAGTAGGCCAACAGCGCCCCCTACGTAATTAAAACTCTTTTCTGAGCGGGCGGGCATTAGGACCCGGGAGAGGCTGCCGCTGCTGCCACGGCACCTGCTTTTACTGTTTACTCTTATCACACACCGAAAGCGTCATTCTGTATGTGCATTCTCAGTTTAAACGCAGCGATCCAAAAATGTGAATCTATTCATCATTCAGGTAAAACTTTGCTTCAAGAATGAGCCACAATGCTGACCTGATCTAATCACACTGTTGATGTGATCTAATCGCTAGCACACCCTGAGCACATGTGAGTTAATGTATTCCTCTTATCGGCAAGACATATCGGCATTATTTTTTATATCGGGCCGATGCCGATATTTACATTTAAAGCCATTATCGTCCGATTCCGAAATTAGTCCGATAATATTGTGCATCCCTAAAAATTACAAACTTGAAACTAAAACTTTTTAAAAACAGAAATAAAGCTAAAAATGTAATATAAATATTATTTAAAAAAAACTTAAACTAAAAGTAATTTTTTAAATGTAGTCATGGCAACTGACTGAAATAAGTTTAAACTGAATTACTAAAATTACTGATTTTTTTTACACTGATTCAGACTCTTTTGCAATCTGTTTGAACGATTCATTAAAATGAACAGACTCGGAAATGATTAATTCACAGAACTAAAAGTAATTTTTTAAATGTAGTCATGGCAACTGACTGAAATAAGTTTAAACTGAATTACTAAAATTACTGATGTTTTTTTACACTGATTCAGACTCTTTTGCAATCTGTTTGAACGATTCATTAAAATGAACAGACTCGGAAATGATTAATTCACAAACAGTGCATTGTTAGTTCTGATTCTAGCCGACAGAAAATACCAGACACATGATTTGATTGGCTAATTGGTTGGAAAAAGTAATATTGTGAGTTTGTCAATGCCATCCTGCTACTTAAATAAAATAAAAATAGTTTTATGTAATAGAAAAAAATTACAATAGCAAAAAAATCTTTATTTTTTGTGTCTAAAGCCACCTTCAGAAGTCACCTTCAGTTCAGAAGTCGTAATTTTGAGTTCATTGTTGTTATCAGTAACTAAAACTACTAAAAATGTGTTGAAATAATATATAAACAAATGAAAAATTAAACTAAATGAAATTTTTTAAAAATATTGCCTTGGCAACTAGGCTAACTGAAACAAGTTTAGGTTGAATTACTAAAATTATTAACTGAAATAAAACTAAAACTATTTAGAAATATTAAAAAATACAAAAATGACAAAACCACATAAAATTACTAAGAAATTAAAAAATGAAAACAGAGAAAAAGCTACTTTAATATTAATAATAGTTTATAAATAACATTAAAATAGGCTAACACTGATTTCGACATGATTTTGGCCGGAATTAAATAGACTTGTTCGTATTTCTTCTCATTTTCACATCTCAAGAAAGATTTTAGCGCTGGTTCAACAAAATAAAGAGCAAAGTCAACTCTCAACTTGAGTCCAAATGCATTAAAGCTAATTAACATTTACAATGATCCATATGTAAATCAGTTATCTTCATAATCCTTTAATTGGCTTGAAGAAAATCCCAGGTCTCCCTCTAATAATTACAACATTTTGGGGGTGTTCATGTACGCTCATCTCATAAATATGATCATTCTCACATGACTTGAAGGCAGCATTAGACAGTAGGAACGTGTCCTAATTACAGAGTTTGCCATGGCTAAAAGCTGTTGCCAAACCCGCAGGATTATTTCTTAAATCTGTGCAGATTATTATGAAATGATTTGGACAGAGCTGCAGCTTATGTTCTGATGCCGTTCAACCTGGAGAGGAGCTTTACCACACACACACACACACACACACAGACACACACACACACACACACACACACACACGCACACACACACGCACACACACACACTCTCTCACACACACACAGACACGCACACACACACACACACACACACACACACGCACACACACACGCACACACACACACTCTCTCACACACACACAGACACGCACACACACACACACACACACACAGCGCTGGCTCAGTGCTGGTAACCGGAAGGACAGTGGTTCGAATCCCATGAGGAGCGAGTCGTGTGATATCAGGACACTTCACTAAATAGATTTTTAACTGTAGTTTGTAAAGCTTTATAGATAGCTTTATAGAAATATAGATGTACGTAATATATCTGTACTGCAAATGTAAATATTAAAAAAAAAAATAGTTGATTTGTCAACAGTGAATCTTATTGAAGAATTTCTTTGCAATCCCTATGGAGAAAATGAATGGGAACCATGCAAGACTGGTTTTGCTTCAGAACCCAGATTTAAGTATTATTGAATCAAAACATTCAAATGTAATAATAAGAATAATAAATATTCAATAATATACAAAGTTGACACAGTGTTATTTTAGCTTTATAGATAGCTTTATAGAAATATAGATGTACGTAATATATCTGTACTGCAAATGTAAATATTAAAAAAAAAAATAGTTGATTTGTCAACAGTGAATCTTATTGAAGAATTTCTTTGCAATCCCTATGGAGAAAATGAATGGGAACCATGCAAGACTGGTTTTGCTTCAGAACCCAGATTTAAGTATTATTGAATCAAAACATTCAAATGTAATAATAAGAATAATAAATATTCAATAATATACAAAGTTGACACAGTGTTATTTTAGTACCACTGAGATACTATTAGCCTATAGTTTTTATTAATATTTTGAATTAGGTTTTATTTTTATATTTTATGCTTTAATTTAAATGTCAGTTAATGTTTTTGTTGTTTTTTAATTATTGTTATTAATTATTTAAAAATATATACTTTAATTTTTTATTGATATTTTGGATTAGTTTTTATTTGTATATTTTCTGTTTTCTTTTAAATTTTAGTTATATATTTTTTATGCAGTATATGTTTTATTAAGTTTTATTTCAGTTTTAGCTTTAGTTATTTTAGCACTTAAACTAAAAGAAAATGAAAAACAATGCCATGGCAACTAGCTGAAATAAAATAAGCAAAAATAGTTAATTCAGCTTCATTTAAAAAAAAAAAAAAAAAATCAGAACCCAGATTAAAGTGTTGATTAAATTGAAATCTTTAAAAACATCAAATGTAATAATATTTCCAAGAACGTAATACAATAATATGCAAAATTTATATCATGAATTTCTGAATAGGGAAATTGACAATATTAATTTAATTTTATTGTATTTAAGCTTTATATCAATTAACAACATTTTTCTAAATAGTTTTGCTCAATTACTATGCATTTTCTCCCTTTTTAAAATTTTTCTAGATAGGAGTCAAAAATACAGTACAAAATTATGAAAGTACTGGATACATTCAGTCCAACTGACTTCCTGTTTGTATTGTCATTTTTCATGAAATCCTGCCTTTTCATTGTGTAATCCTAACTATGTATGATTATATGACTTTGTATTATTTGCATTATTTTTCCTGCTGTCACATCAGAACTATATAAGAAATACTTCAAAAGCAGTGATAAATTTCAGAGTTTCGTCTCGATTCACGTCATTTAGCAGGAGCTTTTATTTTTACCCAGAGTAAGTTGCAGGGTGCTGATGGCAGGAACAGGCTGTTCCGCTGGAGACAGCAGTGCCTCGCTCTGGGGTACAGTGGTGATTGTGTTAGGAGAAACTTAGGAACAAAGCACTTTTCTTCAAGCTGTGTGTGTGTGTGTGTGTGTGTGTGTGTGCTGAAGCTGGTTACTGGACTGAGGATGATAAATGTGAACAAATATGAATAAACAGCATAACACCGTGTCAGCACTAAAAGAGCGTGATGCAATGCGACAAAAATAGATTATAATCAACGGTGTGGACAGCTGCATTCATTATCATGGGAGTGCTCTAGTTTTGTTTTATCACATCACATTGCATTTCTGTGTGTGTGTGTGTGTGTCCTGAAGCTGCTTACTGGACTGAGGATGATAAATGTGAACAAATATGAATAAACAGCATAACACCGTGTCAGCACTAAGAAAGCGTGATGCAATGCGACAAAAATAGATTATAATCAACAGTGTGGACAGCTGCATTCATTATCATGGGAGGGCTCTAGTTTTGTTTTCTCACATTACATTTCTCAGTGTTATTATTATAGTATTATTAATTTTATTTTGTTATATATTAATAAATATTATTCATGTTTTTAGTTAGTTTTTATTTTTATATTTTCTGTTTTTATTTGAATT